AATTTCATTATGCTCATTTCTTTTTCATACAAACATCCATTTGCATCCAACTGGTTTTATGTCATCTGGTGTTTGAACAATTGATTCGAAGACATCTCTTTTGTTTAATAAGTCAAGATCTTATTGAATCACATTTTCCCATTTTGGCCAGTTATTTCTTTGCTGACATTCAAGAACCGATTTTGGCTCTGGATCCTCGTTTTCTTCCATTATATCAAGTGCTAAACTGTATGTGAAGGCATTATCAATAATTGCCTTTTTGCTGTTCTAACATTTTCTTGAAATAACATAGTTAATTGAGTTTTCAATAATCTCATCATATTCTTCAAGATCGTGCTCTTTTGGAGCAATTATTTCAGGGTTGTCTTCCTCGTTAGATTGAGTTTTATCAATGTCATTCCTGATAGTTTCATAATTATCATCATTAATTCCTCTTTTCTTTTGAGGATGTTTGTCTTTGGAACCAAGTGGTCTACTACGCTCCAAGCGTGTCGCCGATTCATTAGCACTTCCAATTTGTCCATCAAGGAAAATTATTTTAGCCGGATCATTAGCAGCTTAATATATATGATCGAGTGACTTTACTCGAGTCATTGAATGCATCCGGTAACTGATTTGCAATTTTTTGCAAATGTATAATGCGTTGAACTTCTAGTTCACACTGCTTTGTACGAGGATCACAAAAATTCAATGGGATTTTTCAATTAATATCCCTTTTTAGTTTATTTCTGTCTCCCCCTAATGTCGGAAAATATAATTCGTCAAAATGAGAATCTGCAAATCTTGCAGTGAATAAATCACCCGTCATAGGTTCAAGATATTTTATAATTGACGGCGATTCATATCCGATATAAATGCCCAATCTACGTTGGAGACCCATTTTTGTACATTTGGGCGGTGGAATAGGAACATAAACAAAAATACGTAGATGAGATATATTTGATTCATGACCAAATACTAATTGCATAGGGGAATAGCTATGATAGCTTGTCGACCTTATTATTATGAGTGTTCCTGCATGTAAGATTGCATGCCCCCAAGCTGAAACGGGCAACATACCTCATCAGTAATGGTCTAGAAATTAACTGCAATATTTTAATAAGTGATTCTGTCAGACCATTTTGTGTATGAACATGAGCAACTGGGTGCTCTTCATTAATTCCAATCGACATGCAATAATCATCAAATGCATTCGATGTATATTCACCAGCATTATCCAGACGTATAGTCTTAATTGGATTATCGGGGAATTGTGCCCGTAATTTAATAATTTGGGCAAGCAATCTCGCAAATGCCATATTGCGAGTATATAATAAACAGACATGGGACCATCACGTAGATACATCAATAAACACCATAAAATATTTAAATGGCCCACATGGTGGGTCTATTGGTCCACATATATTCTTGTGTATTCTTTCAAAAAATGTAGGTGATTCAATACCTACTTTAGCTGGCGATGACCTGATTATCAATTTTTTCTGAGTGCAGACAATACAGTTTAACTCATTTGAGTTTAACACTTTTTGACCTTTTAATGAATGGTCATGCGAATTCTCAATTATTCGCCTCATCATTATACTGCCATGATGCCCAAGGCGATTATGCCATATTTAAAAATTTGTAGTCTTTTGATCTACTGTGAGGTATGTTTCAACAACACATAATCTGGCATAATATAAGTCAGTAGAGAGTGAGAGTAATCTCTCAATGATGCATTTCTTTTTATCAATAATATTGGTGATCAATAAAAATTCACCATCAGTATCACTCATAGTTTCAATGTGATAACAATTTTTCCGAATATCATGAAAGCTCAGTAAATTTCTTCGAGCTTTAGTGGCCAACAATGGATACTGTATCACAATTTTCGTCCCTGCAGGGAGAAATATAATGGCTTCTCCAGAGCCTTCAATTAATTTTGCATTGTCACTTATTGTATTGACATTCATTCTTTCCCTTTTCAAATGAGAGAAATATTTTTCGTGTTTCAATATAGTATGTGTCGCTGCACTGTCAATGAAACACATATTTGCATCATTTTGATTAGCATCCATTTAACCTTCAAATATAAATAAATGCAGTATTGATAAAGACAAATATAAATATTGCAAAATGCATTACAAAAGGTAGTATGCGATAATTTAAATATTACAAAATATCCACTGGGGGTTTGTTGGATCTACGATAAAATCCGCTATATCAAGATGCGTTGTGTCATAATCCAGAAGATCATCATCAGGGTCGTCATCGTTATCAAAGTGATTAGTCTGGACCTTTTTCCCCTTTTTCTGCGGTGAGGCTTGATAAAGATCGGCTAGGTGTTTGGCTATTCTGCAAGTATTGGCCCAATGGCCTTCAATGCCACACCGATTATAAATGTCGATTTGTCTCTTTCCCTGTTTAGCCTTTTCGGCTATATCCCCACATTGGGGTTTACTCTGCATCCTGTTAATGTCAAAACTGCGGCGATTGTAAGGGGTATATCGACCGCGTTGACTTTCACGACCGCGATCACGTCCACGGCCTCTACCACGTCCTCGGCCTCATTCAGGAAATGTCACGTTCACTTCAGGGAATGGACTGGAACCAGTGGGCCGGGAATGATAATTTTTCATCAGTAACTCATTATTTTGCTCAGCTAATAAAAGACATGCAATGAGCTATAAGTACTTTTGAAAGTTTTTCTCATGATACTGTTGTTGCAGCAAAACATTCGAAGCATGAAAGGTAGAGAGAGTCTTCTCCAATTTATCATTCTCAGTAACAATTTCTCCGCAGAGTTTCAACTGAGATGTAATCTGATGGATAGCAGAGTTGTAATTTTAAAATCCTGCAACCGCAGGTTAAGCCAATCATGTCGGGCTTTCGGGAGAGTAATATATTTCAAGTGCCTAAATCTCTCCCTCAATTCATTCCACAAATATAGTGAATTTTTCACCGTCAAATATTCAGACTGTAGAGGAATGTCCAAATGATGACGGATGAAAATAATAGTCTTAGCTCGATCTTGGTTTGTAGTCGCATTTTCACTGGCAATTGTATGAACAAGACCCATTGAAACCAGATGCATTTCTACATCCAGGGACCAAGTTAGAAAATTATTGCCGGTAAAAGACAGAGGTTTAAAAAAAAATTTTACATAATTTTTCATAGTGTATAAAATAGATAATACATATAATATAAAAATAAAATTTACCAAAAATAAAATAAGTAAGAGTCTTCGTACTAATAACGTCTTATATAATAAATATTGGTCAGTATAAATAGATATATATGTATATGGTGTGAGTTGGTGGTATATAAAATATATTAATAAATATATTTAATGTTGTATGTAAATATGTACGTATTATAAGTAGATATATATACATATATATATATAATATAAAATAGGTAGAGAGGTAGAAGATTTAGAGAGAGATGTTTATAAATATGAATTGATTGTAAATGTTTTTTCCTCCATCAAGTGCATTAATGCATACATACATATATATATAGATTTTTCCAACTATTAAAAAATATCCATAAAAAGCATCTACAACGAGCACAAATGTATGCCAACAATGCACTACTATTATTTTTCAATATCATTAATAATTATTTATATTTGTTAATATTAATATTATTTTTATTTTTATAAAAAAATAATTATAAATATTACTATTATTATTATAAAATACACCCATTTTACTGTAATTCATACATTTACACATACACATACATATCCAAAGTGGCCGCAGCCGTGCAGCAGGTTGTTCTGTTTTTTTCCTTTGATCATCTTTCTCAATTTCTCTTATTTCTTCTTTCTTTTTCTCATTTTTTTTTTTTTCTCATTCTTCTTCTGGATCTGTCGCCCTAGTGAGGAATTTTAAAAAAATTAAAAAAAATTCAATCTGTCAATTCATACAGAAAACCACAAAATCATCAGTTTATAATTTAAGATAATCGCAAAACAAAATCAAACCATCAAAACTACGATTTTGATTTGATTTGTGCCTGATTTCGGTTTGAATTGGAACGGCCGATTCGAAAATCGGCGAACCAACCGTTCAAAACCAAATGGTACAAAGTAATAAATATTTTTTAAATTAAATAAATTAAAATTCTAATATTATTAATAAGTATTTATGTAAAATATAAATAAAAACACCATATAATATTATTTGATTGAATATAATAAATACAATAAAGTTAATATTAATTACAAATTAAAATATAAATATACAAAAATAATTTATTTTATAAATAATAAAATAAAATCATGATTTTAAAATAAAATTTAATTAAATAATAATTTTAAATAAAATAATAAATGGGAAAAAAATCTTTTCATTTCATGTCGGAGTATGATGATTGCAAAAATAAAAGAGATATTAAAATGACTTACTTTACAAAATAATAAAATTGTTATTTTTACATTTATGGGTGTGTTTCTTTTGAGGTTTTATTCGAATTCTTTTATTCAATAATTTTTTTTAAAAGAAATATCAAATTAAATATGTATTTTTTATTTTTATATTATATTAAAAATCAATTTTACATTCAAAATATCACATTAATATATATTTATATTACATTATATAACTATATTTAGTTGGATTTGAACAGTAAAAAATTGAATTAAAATAATTATATAATGTAATATAAATAAATATTAATGTAATATTTTGAATATAAAATTAATTTTTAATATAATATAAAAATAAAAAATAAATAAGTTTAATTTAATATTTAAAAAATATATATATAAATAATGCATTTAAAATTCAATTTTCAAACAAACACACCCAGCATGCGAGATGGTCTAACAAAAGTCAAATTACTATTCAATCATATCTCATTAATCAACCGCCGAACTTATAACTACGCCCCGTAAATTGCAATGAAACACTTACCTTTGTCGAGATTCGAAAGTAGTATAGATCAATGGCTACGTGTGACACTTCGAATTAAATAAAATAATGCTACTAAATAAGTCGAAATCAATTATTGCAAAATATCAAATTGACCCCACAAATTTCCTAACCCTTCATTGCTCACATCGCCAAAGGCCAGTGACTGATCGTCGATTTCTTGCCCAAATCATTTTCAAGTTTCCCATATTCTGCACCGTCTGATCGCTGATCGCGAACTCCTCTTCTGCAATTGCTGCGATTATGGTGAAGAAAGGGGTGCCGGATTGGCTCAACAGTTCGCTCTGGTCATCCCCTCCGCCGCCGCCGCCTCCCTCGCCTCCGCCGCCGCAGCCCAGCGTCGTGGCGAAGCCCACTGTCGACCCTCCTGTTCCGATTCCGCCTCCGTCCGTGGCGAGGCCTTCCGAGCATACGGTTTCGCCCTCGTCTCACACGGCCAGTGTCGCCAAGCCAGAAATTAGGGATCCGTTGTGTGGGCAGTTTGGGAATACTAGCAGCGTCCATCATAGCGATGATGAAAGTGGTGGCTCGTCCGCGAATTCCATGGCCTCTGTCGGTGGTGTTGCGGCTCCTCCGGCAGCTCAGGATCTTTCCAGGCGAGCTCAGATTTTACAAGAGGTTTATAACAGTGGGCATCTGTTTGTATTTTCTTCTTGTTTCTCGGATTTCTCGTTTGTAGTTTTGAATTTGAATTTTATTTTATTTATTTTTTCTTCCCCTTACTGTATTCTTGGTTGTCCTGTGAAGCTGTCCAAGAAGGTTATAAACATGGGTGAATTGCGGAGGCTGGCATCGCAAGGGATACCTGATGGAGCTGGTATTCGTGCAACAGTATGGAAGGTATGAATAGTAGATTAAAATGTTGTAAAAGGGTCAACTAATGGGTGATGTGAGTGTACAAATTTTATTTTTTATTTTTAATTTCTGCCGAGTACAAGTTTACTTCTGAAGTTATGGTTTTAGGTTTTGATTTTGAATAGTAAAATTTTGAATTGAAATAATTATTTGATGTGATGTAAATATGTATTGACGAATGTTTTGAATGTAAAATTAGATTTTAGTGTGCTAAATTAAGTAAAAGTTGGGTATTTGATTTGATGTGTTTGGGGGAAAAGAAAGTTGAAATAGTAAAATCACCGGTAAAATCTCACAAGTAAACGGAACTTTGTTTTTATTGCTGGTATGTCCAATTGAAAACTTTAGTTGTTTCCTTGAAGCATTTTTATGATTGCTTTGTGCTTGAGAATTAGCGTTCTCTGTTTATCATCTATTTGATTAGATACAAGTTTTTATTGTTCGATTTTTCAAGTTAATGCCTCAGTTATTGGTGGGCGTTAGTCGTCACTTTTTTATCTTCAGAGAAAACTCATTTTTGCTTGGAATAAATTTTACTTGCAATACAATGGAAGCCGCTGTTAATGATGCATGGTGCCTAGCAAGTAAAGTATATTCACAGTTTGAAGCCCCCTTTAGTTTTTGGGTTGGATTTTAATGAGAGCGACTTGACTATATGTGTAATAATAGAAGGTATTGGTATCTCAATCAATTGTGTAAGTTGATCTTTTGAGGGGTATTTTTCTGTGGTGGCACACTGCTCTGAATCTCCATTCTATGTATTGCTTACACTTTTCCATATCCAGTTGCCTCTGAATTAGCTGCTGCATATGCCTCTTAACATTATTGAACAATGAATAAATCTCTTATAAGGATGTAGGGGTGTTGCATGCAACCTAAGACTGACAATCCTGCTACCTTGCTTCAAAAGTAGTACTGTTTGTAACACTCTCTTTCTTTCTTTTTTGTTATTTTCTTCAGATTGTTTATAAATGTTGTTATTTAAGCAGAATGATTAAGAAAGATTATTGCTGCTGTTTATTTTAAGACACAACGTGGACTTCCAAATGGCATTTATTGGACTATGGACAATCATGAATGTTATTTAAAAGATCACTCAGAATTTTTTATTTGAATTTCTATAGATTTTCTATGTATGAAATTTACTTGTTGGTTCTTTGCAGCTATTATTAGGGTATCTCCCAGCTGATCGTTCTCTTTGGCCTTCAGAATTGGCCAAGAAAAGATCACAGTACAAGAATTTTAAAGAAGAGCTGTTGATGAGCCCTGTAAGTTCTTGAATATTGCTATTCAGCATTTGCTATCAGCACCTAGGTTCTGTACGCATATGCCCGCTTAGGTAGGAAACTAATATAGTAGCTAAGTTATGTGAAGATTGGTATTCCAGTGAAGATTGGGATTCTAGGGCAGAATATTATCGTAGAAATTATAGTCACATTATTGATTATTTCTATTGCAATGCATCCAGACTTTAATGCATCCTAACAACATAAGGTTAAAAGAATGTCAAGAAACACTAAGCCTGTGTTCTTTTGTGGTTTTTGCAAAAGAATTTTACTATTCAAATTCGTCTTCAAAAATATCAAATCAATCAAATATTTTTTTCTTTTTTATATTATACTATAAATTTATTTTACATTCAAAACATCACATCAGCATCTATTTATATCACATCAAACAACTATTCAAATTCAATTTTTTACTATTCAAAAGTCCAAACCCAAAAACCCAAACCCACAAACAAACACACCCTAATATGTTTTGCAAATTGTGCTTTTGTACCGCCTTGTTTTTGGTGGGTGATCTGGAGATTGAGGCCTAGGACTATGTAAAGTTCACTTTATCCATGGGATAACTGAATTCCTTTATGAGGTAGGCCGTAATTGGGGATAGTCTTGAGATCAATTGGCAAGGTTGTGTCTCATTTATTTATTTTTATTATTTCTGACGGCTGCATTGAGATAGCAGTAAATCATAGTGGTCCCCAAAAAATGAGAAATCTCATGACTTGCCCTGCCCTACATTGCCATATATTATAGTAGAACCCTGCATCCTTGACTTTTTGCCCAAACGTAGGCTAAGCCTATTGATTAATTTTATTATTTTGTAGCAAGGTTTGCTCTTTTGTTGTTCTTTCTTTCTGACTGTTGTTCTGAACGATAGGAGATTACATTTGTTTTCTAGTTCGAGATATTTCAAACTACTGCAATAATCTTCACAGTTATGATTCTGAAACCAAGTGCCTGGTTGGAAAATAATCTTACTACCTGAATTGATCTGTGGACACTGTTTCTACTTTCTACTTATGTTTTGCACTTCTTCCACCACACGCCTTTCATTCTTTTCCACATTTTCTAAATGCTTTCATGGCTAGTCAGTCAGAGATTACCCGGAGGTTGGAAGACTCGAGTCTTGAGAACTATGAACTAAATGGTAAGGGGTATTTGTCGAGATCTGAGATAAGTCATGGGGAGCATCCATTAAGTCTTGGGAAGAGTAGCGTATGGAATCAGTTCTTCCAGGTACTTTGGTTTTTTTTTTTTTTTCATAGCGATGCTAGCATGTTATATCAGTTCGTCCTGGCCATATGCTTCATTGATTCAAATTTGCGAGTTATCATGTTCTCTTGTTAGCTAAAAGCGATGTCTGGACACATTTTAACTCCATCCAATACATGATGCTTTAGGATTCTGAAGTTATTGAGCAGATTGACCGAGATGTTATGCGCACTCATCCAGACATACACTTCTTCTCAGGGGACTCAATTTTTGCTAAATCCAACCAAGTGGGTGTAATATTATTCCTCTATATCATTCTCTGCCTTCATGCGGGCACTTTTACTCATATTTCCTTAACTCCTTTACATTGCTCTTACAGGAGTCTATGAGGAACATCTTGATTGTGTTTGCAAAGTTGAATCCTGGATTGAGATATGTTCAAGGGATGAATGAGCTTTTGGCACCATTATTCTATGTATTCAAGACTGATCCAAATGATGAAAATTCGGTAAGCTAGTTTTCTAGTCTCTTTTAACTTTTAATAGTTTTGAGATGAATGGTTTGAAGAGATTATTATTCCATCTGAAATATCTGGGTTATTTTATACTTTCTAATCATGTCTGGACCAGATTATATGAAAATTTTGGAGCAATCTCCCAGATTACATGTTTGGATGAGGGAAATATGATGGAAACCTGACTAATGTACCTATCAGTTGACTCAATTGCAATATTTGAGTAAATATTCACTTTTGCGTGGAAGGACACATTTCATATAGAAGATTCTAGTTGCTTGTAAGATATGCTGTCCCAGAGAAAACTAAGGATGTGTGTTCCTTTAAGATTTAGATTTAGGTTTGGGGCTTAGTAATAGTACAAATTTATATATATACATTTGAAGCTCTCTATTTTCTTATATAATCAATTTATGCTAATTATGTGTATATATATATAGCGTGCATAATTTTATTCTCTACAACTATATCCGTATTGAATATATTTAGTAAGGTATAACTTTTAAAACACTAAAATATATATTTTAAATTTATTTTTAATCAAATATATATTACATCATAGCTCAACCATCATCAAAATAATTTTTCATTCAACTGAATTTCCAACCACAAACCGAGGACAACCAAACAAGACCCGTAACTCTTAGACCTGGATGGGCTGCACTCAAACAACAGCCAGGGTGTGATTATTAATTTACGATCTGGAAAGCTGAGTTGATGTAATTGTCTAGGATTATTATCATTTTGAAATCCTGCCAACATGTTTGTGAGTAGAATGAGGAACCTCAAATGAGTTAACTTCAAGAGTATTCTCATTTTAAATTTCTTCACTATATATATATATATATATATTTACACCTAAAAATCTTGTACTTCTAATAGAACATTGAAGTGGTTCTATAGTTCTGATAGGCTTACTGTTATTAGAGCTGTACCCAACACATTAAATTTTATAATGCTTTGATAAGAGCATATGCAGTAATGGGATTTCATGCTTGTTGACTTCAAGTTCTAATAAACTTATATTTAAAATATTTCTGCGGTTCAATTTTTGTACTATGTGTAGGCTTCTTCCCTGCCACTAATTCTGTATTTTTATTTATTTATTTATTTATTTTTGGTAAGTCCAGCAGGCGTATGCTGAAGCAGACAGTTTCTTCTGTTTTGTGGAACTATTGAGTGGATTACGGGACAATTTTGTTAAACAGCTTGATAACAGTGTTGTGGGGATCCGTGCTACCATTACAAGATTGTCCCTGCTTCTGAAGGAGCATGATGAGGAATTGTGGCGTCACCTTGAGATGACAACACAAGTAAAGTTCATGGATCACATTTTACAATTTAGTTTTAGGTTCTTTTTAATTTACAAGTCCAAAGTAGCACAGTATATTATGCATGAATATTAAATTTGTTTTACAAAAAATAAGCAGCATGCACCTCAGTTATTCAATAAAGATTGATGCAAAAATACACTTAACTTGGATCTTACTTTCATGCATTAACAAGGAGCTAAATGTTTATTTTATCTTTTCTTTTATAACTTACATGTTTATTCTTGTCATATACAAGAGGTTTTGTGGTAGACATGATATATTTTTCTTAAATTTTGGTGTAAGTCAAATATGTACTTGTGCTCCTCATGTTCAGATGAAGAAAACTGTATTGAATTCTATTTCATCCTTTAGTATAGAGGTTCATGTGCTAAGTAAGCTACTAGAAAAATGCTAGTTTAAAGATTTTATTACATCATGGCAGAAGTTTGATCTTGTTCTTCAAATGATGGTTGTTTATCTGAGTTATTGGAGAAAAGTAATTGTTTTGGTCAATAGAACTAGAAGGAGAATTAACACCAGAGTGCAAAAGAAGTCCTTGAGAATAATTAGAATAGTGAGTTCCATAAGCCCATCGCTTTGGAGGAGGAAGGAGAAGTCAAACTTGTGTACTTGCATGTACCATCTTGTCTTGGATTATAATAATAAGGGAGAACAAAGGAGTTCATGAGCATTAAAGTGTGGTCTTGATTTGTTGATGTGTGCTGTGATATATTTTAGAGAGTGTTGTATATACAAGGCCACAACAACCATTCTTTACATTTAGGGTGTGTTTGTTTGAGAAATTGAATTTTGAGTTGAGATTTGAATAGTAAATATTTTGAATTGTAATAGTGATGTGATGTGATATAAATAGGTGTTGATGTGATGTTTTGAATGTAAAATTAATTTTTAGTATAATATAAAAATAAAAAATAAGTGTTTGATTTGAGTTTTTGGAAGAAAAAAAATTGAATGAATAGTAGGATTTTGGGTGAATCTTTGAAACGAACGCACCCTTAAAGTAGCTATTACACCACCTGGTTCTCATATTGTAGTAAAGTGTAAATGAGTACCAGTGGAGTGCTTATAATTTCCCTGTAAAAGAAAATTCAGATATTCATTTTAGTTCTCTGCATCATATATCTATAACGTGCTTGTGTATGTGCAGGTCAATCCCCAGTTTTATGCTTTCCGATGGATTACACTCCTATTGACTCAAGAATTTAATTTTGCCGACAGTCTAGTCATCTGGGATACACTTCTGAGTGATCGTGATGGTCCTCAAGTAAGTAATAATATATACTATTCCAGTTCTTGATTTTTTTTTTTTGGCAGCTTTGTCCTTGGGGGTGGGGGAGGGGGAGGGGGAAGGGTGGCAATTGCACTTTAAATGAAATTGTTTGCTTCACTAGAATCATAATCAGAGTGTGTAGAGAAAGAAAAAGTTTCAAATGTTCAATCTAATTAATGACTATGTGACACAAACCTTTTCTATTAATGTAAAAACATATGCAATCTACCCCATGACCAATGAATGAACTTTTTAAATATGAGCATTGTGGGTAGTCTTTTGTATACAAGGTAGATTTTGGCAATGATGATTCTCAATTTAAGGTTTCATTGAATCTGATGTGGAAATTATTGAGGATTCTATTTTGCATCCATTAAATATCTTTGAAGGTTTAAAGACAAGAACCCTGCAATATCAAACGGGGTTGATACACACTTGAATAATAAAAATGCAGCTTTTGGAGATGCTAATATTTACAAAAATAGAAGCGTGTGGGGGTGGATGGGGAAATTCAATTAGTAATTGGAATCAAATCGAGAAGAATTAGATCGGGGATGGAAAAATTCAATTAAATAATTATATAGATTATGGAACTGGGAGGTGAAAAGACAGGATGTTAGATCTAATAAAGAAAAAATGTATTTACTACTTCAAAGATAAGCCGCAAATCTTGATGCTTAGGATTATGTTTAGTTTCTGACACATTATTCCCTCTGCATTTATAGAAATAACCCTTCATGAGTATTTCTCATTTTTTCCTTGTGACGGAAAATTACGACATGGCATTGACCAGCCAGATAATTTCGAATCACTGCAGGAAACACTGCTCCGGGTTTGTTGTGCAATGCTCATCATTGTGAGGAGACGTCTGCTGGCAGGCGATTTCACTTCAAATCTTAAGTTACTGCAGAATTATCCATCAACAAACATCAGCCACCTCCTCTATGTTGCCAACAAATTGAGGGTTCCCTTGTCGGGCTGAGCTTTGTGATCCTTTTGGTGGTTATTGGTTTCGTGTATGATGTTGTTTTCTGTAAGAAGGATGGATGTGGTTGTACATGTAGTTTGGTAATAGGCATTGCTCTTTTAGAACTTAGCATTTTCCCATGTTTCTGGAATATCTTGGACACATATTAAATGCACAATACGAGTTACTTCTATCTCAGGTTTTCTTTTTCAAAACCTTTTAAAGGTTTGCATTTAGGTCTTCGTCTTGGGTTTTTGATTGAACAATTATTTGATGTGATTGGATTTTGGTTTGAATAATTATTTGCTGTGATATTTTGGAATAAAAATATTACTTTTTTTTGGCTAAAAATCTGGAAAATTAGTGAAAAACTGGAAAAAGAAAATTGTGTATTTTAATTGAGGAATGTGAAGTTGAGTCTTTGTTTAAATAATAATTTTGTTTGTAGATAATAGTTTGCATAATAAGGAAACTGAAATCACATTATAAATGAAAAGTGTACACTATTTAGCAAAAAAATTTTTCTTACAAACATCCAATTAATGTATTGAAAATTTTGCTAAATAGCATAATTTTAGACAAAATCTTCCAAAAGAACATACTCGATACTTATAATTGAACTAAAATTGATATATTTTAATTATATTATGATTATTATTATTTTTTTTTTCCATTTTAACTATATCAACTATTCTAAATTCAAAAATAAAAAATTTAAAAATATAACAAAAAATTAAAATTTTAGACCGAAACAGAAAAATACACGGCCGTGTAGAATTATACATGGCCGTGTAACAACATGGTCATGTATAATTATACACTGAAATATACATGGTCATGTAACAACATGGCCGTGTATAACTGTACATGGCCGTGTAACAACATGGCCATGTATAATTATACACTGAAATATACATGGCCTTATAACAACATGGCCGTGTATCATTGTACATGACCGTGTAACAACATGACCATGTATAATTATACACTGAAATATAGTGTATAATTATACATGGCCATGTAACAACATGGCCGTGTAACAACATGACAATGTATAATTATACACTGAAATATACATGGCCATGTAACAACATGGCCGTGTATAATTGTACATGGCCGTGTACTTTCTAGGTCAACTGCCACGTCATCTCCGTCATGTCCACATCAGCAATTTCCGTTAGTTTTTTAACGATGGGACCAAAAATGATAAAAATTGTTTATAATAGGATCAAAGTTGATTGAAATTGTTTATATTGGGACCAAAATTGATGAGTTTTTTATATTGGGACCAAAATTGATGAATTTTGGTTATATTGGGACCAAAATTGATTAATTTTGATTATATTGAGACCAAAATTGATTTTTTCCTTTATTATTTTTATATGAGTAGTGTTGTTGGCATTTTAAATATTTTTAGCGTTATATATTAATAAAATATATACAATATGTATATCATTTTGTAGAGAATATAATTTTATATAATGCAAATAAATAAAAAATTAATTTATTTATTTATAATTAACTTAAAACTAATTTTATTAAAAATAAGAAGTTTTAAATATAGATAAAAATATTTATTTATGGAAGAGATAGATAGAAATAAAAGGGGTTTTGAGTGGGTCCTACGTGTAAGAGGTTAGAAATTTAATTAAATTGATTTATATTTGTTAAATATGTTTAAATGAATAAATTTACTAAAAATAGAAAGAGGTCATCTTTAATAGGACAGACAAAAAAGAAAAATGGGTCATCTGTCGCGGGACGGAGGAAGTATTAAATTTAATCTGTTACTATTTCCGTTGCAATTTTTCAACGGACATAATATTCCTCATAGAGTGTGACAAATTTATTCTTTTGTAATATTCTCTCACAACAAATCACAATTGCGATTGTCTCCTATTTGCTTAGAAAATTTCGTTGCACTTTTGTAATAGATTGTATTCCGTAGTAATATTTCGTAGTACTTTTGAATTTTTTTGGAGTGGATGCAGAGAGAAAAGTCGAGGAACGCAAAATTTGTTTCCACATTGTTTATGATCTAAGACACTACTACACTACACTCCGTAAGAACAACGATTTCGTTTTTATACATAATTTGTTTGATTGTATTTTAATGTGTTCTTATAATAGTAAGCAATGACATAATTAGTTTTCAAATTCTGGAGTAAAACTGTTAAGTCCGTTTTAATTTTTTTATGATTAGATTTTTTATCCAACTTTTTTTCTCAAACCATGAAACATCATTTTTGGTTCAAATCGACAATTCAATCTTTGCATAAAATGTAAGAACATAATTGTCTGTTCACTTTCACTAATCCGACACCACTTCTTGGATTTCCTTTGCACATAGCTCGGGTGAAGAAGAACAAGAATGAAAGAATGAAGATGAAGAAAAAGATGCTATTGAGGTTAGGATTAAGATCAATTTATCTGGACTATATTAAAAAGTATATATATATATATATACACAAATTTATACTTAAAGAGAAAAAAGGCTTGATCTCTCCTTAAGATAGGGGTGTGTTTAGCTTGTGGTTGTACTTGTATTTTTTCTTTGTGTAATACTCCCTCCGTCCCATATTTATATATCCATTTATTTTTTACATGAAGTTTTAGAAATATTAGGATTATATTTTGATAAAGTAGGAATAAAGGTAAAAAAAACTAAATTAACCCTATTAGTATTGTATGATATAAAGGTAACGACATTTGTGTAATATATTGTAAATTAGAAGGGTATTTGTAATATTAGGTAGATAGTACAATTACTAAAAACAATGAAATGAATACTTTGTTATGGGACGGACCAAAATAAAAAAAATGGATAGATTGTTAACGGACGGATGGAGTATATTTTAGAAAAAAAATAATAATATATATTTTTTCCTCCGTCTCATACGAAGGATTTCATTTTTTGATTTTTTTTCGTTCCAAAACAATGATACAATTTTTTAATATAGTAATTGTATTACCTACTTAATATAATTTTACAATTTACAAATACCCTTCAAATTTATAATATATTATATAAATGTCATTACCTTTAGACGGTGTTTGGTACATAGAAATGAAAATATTATCAATTCTCTTGTTTGCTTGAAACAGAGAATTTATTGTTGAGAAATAATTGATTTCCTATTCTTGGATTTTATTTATCCCTTACCCCCAGAGAAATAATGAGAATTTAAAATCGAGAAATCAAAAATTTCTTTCTCAATTCTCGCGACGATCACCAGACCCACCCAGCGGCTCACTTCTTTCTCGCGTAGCGACTTTGCACCATCACTCTTTCAGCAGCGCCGCATCGCTGCATCTACACCCTTTCTACTTGCACCGATCAGACTGCAAGCTCTTCTGTGCAGCCTCATTCTTCAACGGACTGCAACTTTTGTGCCAATCTCTCTTGTCACCTGCGTCCGTGAAGGTTTGAAATAAATTTTGTTTGATTTTCTTCTTTTTATTTCTTGTTTGTTTGTGTGCTGTTTGTTTTAATTTCTTGGCATCAAGATTGATCAACTCTTATTTTTGTTTGAAATCGACTGTTTGATTTTATTTTATTTTTTGGTTTTTTGGTGTTGTTTGATTTGATTTCATCTAATGTTATTTATTTATTTATTTAATATTTTGCGCTTGAAATTGATGTGCATATTGGTCGTATAAATGTAGTTGAAATTTATAATTTTATAATACGCATAAGATGAGGATGTTATATTTCTTTTTTAATTTTTGTTGCTAGAAACAATAAAAACTTATTTTGTTGAAGCATAAGTTGTGTACTTTGATTGGATCTGATTATATCAAAAAATTAAATTAAATTTTTAGCACCCACTCACTCAACTACTAAATATTAGATGATTTTGATTTGGATTGAATTGAATTGAATTGGATATGATAAGTGTATTGTATATATATGTTAATGCATTGTGTGTAATGGTTAGATACAAATGGACTATTACTTGCTATATATCTAAATATACTGCCTAGAAGATTAGCATTTGGGCACAAATGAGGAATTAGGAAAAAGGTTGGTGATGCTCTGCTGTTGCTGAATTGGGAATTAGTGTAATCTTGTAATGCATTATTATTCTATTGCTAGGTATGATGCGTCGAAAACAAGACTTGACTTAATTGATTCTGTTAGATTGCTCAAGGCCTGAGAGATGTGACATAAACAACACTAGAGTAGCTACATTTTTTTTTTTTTTTTTCTAAACTAGCAAAACTTGGACAAGGTACTTCTAGAAGTTGCGTGTGTGGGTCGATATTGGATTGTTAGTGCATGGATATTGTTCGCAAGTCTTGTAGTACGTACTTAGGATGGCAATATTTTCCTTATTGTGTCGGTTGGGGCGTTTGTTGTTTGGTTATAACGGAGATGGAACTGAAGGTGGGTCGAGTAGTTTGTAGGCCACTTGTTCATGGAAGTAGAATTGCTGATTTTTTTTTTAATTGTGAAATTATTTGATGTTGAGAAGGTTTCTATTCTTTTTTTTTTGGCTAAAATGATTGTACTTTTTCTCATTAGAATGATATCGTAATTTCGGCTTTTTTAAACTTTTTCTGTATTAGTGAAGAATGCTACTTTTACTGCAGTTTGTTTGTATGTTTTGTTTAATTAATTGATTTCATTGTAAAACTATAATGTATGTTTTGTGACAATTTTGATCTAAATGTTTGTAACATATGCTTGCAAGAAACAAATGGAATCTATATATATATATATATATATAGATCTTCATTTCGAATTTTGGAGTTGAACAATGATAATATACATTACAATCTTTCGACAGCTTAGTTTCTAATTTCATAGTTTGTTTTTGTTACTTCAATAATCAAAGTATTTTTTCTTCTTATATACTCAAATTGATTAACCATTTAAAATTAAATAATATAATGAAGTGAATTAAAAAATTTTGATTGAAGCAAGTAATTAATTTCATATTAACAAATAAACGATAGTTATGAAATAAGCAGTAAAATTAAAATATTTATTCTTTATCCGATATAATAATTTTTTAATTTTAAATTTTAAGCAATATTATTCTCGTGGACATATTATATTAATGTAGATTATCAATGAGTATTATTTTATTTTATCCCATATAATAGTTTTATTTTATTTTCTTGCATCAATGAGTATTTTTATGAAATTATTTATGTGATTCGCTCAACAATTTTTTTTTTATTTTTTTTATCATTATCTTTAGGTATCGTTGATTTTTATTTTCTTTTAATTATTATA